ATCGGATACCGCCTTTTGTCGGCTTTTCTAAAGCTAATTGTTGATAGCTTTTGTGACGGTCGTCTTCCGAAATTTGCTCTTTTAATAATCTATACAACTAATTAAATCCGATTCCGGTTTCCGGTCAGTTCGTCCCATTTCCGGAGACTATAACGTCTTGATGTCTTTTACAGAAATTATTCAGATTTAGCACAGTCTACGAAAGTTAAAAAACAACACGAAAGACACCACCCAGCGCAAAATATTACTGTCGTTAGAAGTGTAAAATTCTGCAATATTCCCTGTACCTACTGCAAGAATCACGTGGTGTTTTACCATATTAAAAAAAGTTCAGTTTAGTGGCGTCGTAATCTTAAGCCAGTCAAATAGTAAGGGGCTGAAATAAATGCAATGAGTTATACAAGGTGTGTTCAATGTGAATAAACTAATGTTAGTGCCAAGAAACCGGTTTCATCTCGAATGTCTCTATCTGTATAAAGATTAAAGTCCTCGTGCGAGATCAAAGGAAATGCAGCGCATTTTTGTGTGGCAGAGCAGTATTCTATTAGCCACTTTTGACTCCACCATCAGCAAGATCTTGTCGGGGGCTACCACATTCCCATTGTCGGTACCCACTTCTGACGCCCTCACACTCATATGCGGCATTTTAGTGGATTTCGCTAAATTTCACAAAATGGTAGAAACTACATTTTTGGGGCACTTCTCATATCTCGAGCTTCTATTGGCGACACGAGAAAGAGAGACCGCGATTCGAGCGTTAAAAAACTTTTGCACGCCCGAAGTCGACTATCCCTCGAAGACGCGTGCCTTGGTTAATTTCGCCCCTAGAGAAAAAAAACAAGAGTTGTGCGCGTTTACAAAAACTTTCCGACAACACCAATTTGAAAAGAATCGGACCAAAACTCTAGATAAAAGATAGGAAAAAAATGAAAAATCACCAGGTTAATACACCACGGTCGGGGATGTCGCCGACCCCACATCATGTACCTACCACCACCGTTCCTAAAGTTAATTATATGACCCGGTAGGTACAAGTACACTCCTACAATCGTTCTCCTACGGACTCTCATTTGCTGTCAGCCAGCCAGCCAGCTGGCCAAAGTGAGATGAAAAAGCTACTTTTGTACAAATAATTTGCAAAAATGCGCTAAAAAACCTGCAGTTACTTCAAACGCAGTAGGTGTATAATAGTTTTCAGGGGAATTTTTCGAAAAAATTCCCCGTATGTGATGGCTTGTGTAGTATACTTCTGAAACCTCATAAGAGTGATTTTGAAATATCGTTATGGATACAAGTACCGTATGCCCTATTTCGTTTGAAAGTGTAGTGTAGGTATATCAGCTGTTTCTAACGATAGAGACTTGCGATTTTCGAGACCCATCGTCACTTTTTTGTGCAATTTTTAATACCACGAACAGAATCAATGTAGTTACGTATGTTTCCGAGATACAGGATGAAAATGAAAAGTTTAACTTTTTGGGACGTTATCATATCTTACTACACATGCAAGATAGAAAAAAAGTACAAACTACCCAGATCATCTTTCCTATAGAATCAAATGGCGTAGTCAAAAATTGTTGTTAACCACCTTCTCTGAGATTCGACCTAACGTTGGTAGCTTTTAAATGCCACACCCGGTAGATCTTAAGGTACATTTTTTTATGCATTCCAATAATATCTGGCATTCTTACTAAAAATGACACGCGGAGCACGATATAAAATGAAGTTCAGAACAGAATATTTTATTGTTCCCATGGGAAAGTGTAAATTAAATACCTACATAAGTTTCAGAAGTTTTACAATGATTTCTAGGGCTTCTGCTATAAAATAAACCTTAAATAAATAAATCATCCCTTTATGGTCTCGTATTAACTATTATATTTAATGTAAGTTAGCATTGGTGATCGTCATTTCTATCACGGACCACTAAAATTTTTACGCGCACCAGTACCGCTTGGCGATCGCTGGCGTAGCCGATAGAAACACTTCCATATTTTATTTAATAATTGAGGATTTCAATATCTTGCTCTGAATTAAAAATTAAAGTGTTTTTAAGTAACATAAAAATCAAAACATCAAAAAAGTTAAAGTAGGCCTAGGACTTTTCTTAATAACATTTGTGCGTATCTCGTCCCCAAAGAGCCCTTTACTGGTATGGAATAAACGTTTTTTGAAAATTTCAAAAGCATCCTTGATTTTTCGAAACTAAAATTATATAACAAATTAGATTCCACAAGCAGGGTCCTCAGAAGCTCGAAGTTCAATTCGAAAATTTGTCGTCTTTTACAAAAGACGACCCCAAACAAACACAAAGTATATCACAAGAATATTGCAGGGGTAGCTCGTTTATTATTGATTGTAGATTAGGGTAAATGACAAAGTTTTGTAGTTTTGTGTGGTGTTAAAAAAAAGCGAAAAAAGCCAATTAAAAAAAAATGAAATATATTTTTAAATAATAATAACAATATATTTTGTTCTCTCTTAATTCGACAACTCATCAATAATCTCAATAATAAACAAGTACCAATTGTGCACAACCCTTGTGCAGGTAAAGCGCATTTTTTTAAACACCCCTACGAAATTTCTTCCATAAATAAGAAAGTTGGCACTGCACATCCTACACAAAACCAAATTTGAAAAATGGCCCTACATTTGCCATTTGCCAAGTGGCTGTGTATCAAATTTCATTTAAATTCCTCCGTAAATAAGAAAGATGGCACTGCGCATGCGCGAAACGAAATTTTGAAACTGGCGTTAAATTTGGTTTTATTCCAATTGGCTATGTATCAAATTTTATTTAAATGGCCAATGGTTATATTTCTTCCAAACGTCCCAATCGCCCTTTGTAGGTACTTTCCTTTGACAATTCATTCTTAAGATATAAGGAATAAGACTATGGTTAGTACAAATTAATTCCTTTCGATGAGACCTTTCATTAGAGTACAATGAAGGATAAAACTAGTTTCACTCCCTCCCCCCCAATCCCCCTCCGACGGTACGTTGATAAGAGGCCAAAAAGAAGTGCAATAGTTTGTAGAAAACTGTTCCTCCCGTTGGGACAGAATACAATGAGAGATAAAATTAATTTTAGCCCCCCCTCCCCTGATCTGGAAAAAGAGTCGCACGGGAAAGTTATAGTACCAATTTATTTCGATGAGACAGCATCTCAGGAAATAATTCGGGGGGGGTTTAGACAGCGAAATTTAATGGCCGTCTGGCACGCCTTCAAGGTATAGGCTACCTACTGCAAAAAATTCCAGGACTCTAAGACCATTCCCCTACAAGTAGTTTAATACGGTAGAAGTGGATCCGGACGGACGGACAAAACGCAAAAATAGCGCAATTTTTTTTAATTCTTAAAAAATGCGCTAAAAAGGAGAACACAAATTGAAACTATAACAAACGTGAAATACTTACTGAACGTGAAGGAAGTAACATTGTCCCCAAACGTATACAAAATAAAACACGTACAACTACAAAAATGCACTCAAAAGCCATTTCTAATTCTGCTTCATTTTTCTAAAAGATCTCGTTCCGTAATGAGCCTGTAGTAAAAACACGTCCAAATTAGAATAACACCATCGCAGTGGAATAAGACATAAAACATATCCATATGCAATTTATTGTGTCAATAATATTAATCTGCAACATTGGTGCAATCAAATAGAGAAAATTCCATTGTAACAACTCCAGATATAAATTACAACATTCTTTTGTCCCTGTGACCTAAACAAAATAGGCCAGCTGTTTTAAAGATATAAATTGATTCAGGAATTGAAACGGTCACGCCATCTAAACATTTTACCGCAAATTGTAGTAGTAGAAATTTGTTTGTATTGCAGCGCCATCTGTATAGTACACGTAGAACTGCAGCAGTTACTGGATTAACATAGAGATGGCGCGTAATGAAATTGCAGAAAACTACCTAAAGTGATGAACACAGCTGAGTAGTGCTGCCCTCAACAGACCATTGCCTATTGCAACATTACGGAAATGAGATTATTTATTTTAAGACGTTATGGGAATAATTAAACATGCTCTTTCTCCTCAATGTCATATTGTGCACTGGTCGAGGCACTGGTGCAATGAAACATGAAATGGAATGTTCTATTTAAAGAATCTTAAATATGCTTTAATTAATTGGTAAAATTAGTAAAGCTATTTTAGTAGATTCCTCAATGCTTATTCACTTCGACATGTCATTCATTAATTTTAGTAGGCGCGTTTAACAATTAAAGGCGTTTTAAGTAGTCGGGAGTTACAATCGGTACAAGTCAGGAATTTTGGTATTACATAAGGTAAACGGCGCTCAGAATTCCAAGATAACGGCTTTAAAACAGAACTCGTTCCACAGAAAGATAAGCTCAAGAATTCTAGGAATGCAATACAGCTTTAGCACAAATATTTACCTCTCTCTACGGCCATCATAATCAAATACATTAAACTGGGTAACAGGAAATTGTTTATTAATTTCATTTTACCGATTCCCGCGTTGTTGACACAAACAATAAACATCCTTCGAAGAATCGCTTCTGACCGATTCGTGAATAGCGCACCCCTTTTTCTTGGAATTTCGTTCACACACAAAAAGCCCCCGGGGAAGCGCATGCAGCGACAGCGGCCTTCTCGACACCCGACATCGGACAAACAGGAAATGCCCCGTTTTTTTTCTCTTCCAGCTTTATGCATGAATTAGTCGAACATTAATTCCAAACCGGGCCTTCTTCCATATTTTAAAGTTCAGTACAGGTGCATTTTAAATCGAAAAGAAAAACGTGTACCTATACGCAACGCGTCGTGAACTGTGAGAACGCGTAACGATAAAATCGACATTCTAAGCATTTCGGGACAACCATCAACATCCCGCAAGTGGTTCATCAACTTTTTCGGTAGAAAAACGTAGTGCAGCAAGTGCAATGATCCGAAGAACGGCTTGCGAAGAATGCAGTCGTTGAAAGAATGCAATATCAGTAGAAAACGGAGAAGGGCAATGAAATTCCTAACTTGGCAACGTTTACTACAAACTATTTTACAATATAATTTATCATTGACCCTCTACTGTGCGGATGCGAGTGAAAGGATTTGCATATTTTTTTATTACCCCACCTTCTAATTTGAAATTTTCTCCCGATTGTTACCTGCGAAGCGACCGACGTCTGGATACCACCATACCACCAGCGTTTCGCCTTCAGGAAATCTGTAACAAAATTAAACATTACTTTTGGCAATCATTTTTCGCAAGAATTTGATTGGGTGGTCGAAATTGTTACTAAATATACTAACTATACCAAACTAATTTAATTAGAAAGCGTTATCTAAACGTTCACGAAAAGCTTTTCATCCAAATACGCTGTTCTCTGTCTACTTAGCTCGAGTTATTGCAGATTACCGTTTTTGGGACATATTAAAATTTGATCAAATGTCAACGTCTTGCAAAATTATCTTCAAATTACGGGGATAACTGGATATACATCTTTAACCACCCAAAATGGATGAAGTTGTATCAACATGGACGACTTATGAAAAGTAAAAATTGCTTGTGGCACTAAATACTTCAACTTTTGCATGAAAGTAATATGGACACACATTCATGCGCCAATGCTCAGGCGCATTATAACCAAATTTACTCGTTGCCAATTTTACGACGAAATTTGTGAGTATCTGAGTAAATAAGGATTTTGTTCTACCACTTAACCTCGAATTGAATAAAAGAGAAGTGGCATAAAATTTAATTCATACTCATGAAATCAAAGTGTCCTGTCGTTTTCCTCACGAAATTTGTGAATACATGAAGATTTGTTCTACCACTTAACGTCAAATTTAATAAAAGAGAAATGGCATAGCATACAATTTAATTCCCTCTCATGAAATCAAAGTGCCTTGCCGGTACTAAGATTTCGTTAAAGGTGGGGAGGGTGTCATTTTTATGGTATTCTAATTAAAAGGATTGGAGGGGGGTGTTCGAATCTGGGCTGAGGTAAGAATTGTTCTGTGTTCATCTGTGACAGAGATAGGAATTTCTTTAGATCAGTTTCGTGCATTCTGTTGGCTACTCCGAATTAGGAAGAGTAGTATAGAAGTTCAGACCGTCTGCAGGGCACCTCTCAAAAGCATTATGCGGGTTACAGACCGTCTGCAGGGCACCTCTCAAAAGCATTATGCGGGTTACTCTGTAATTGTCCTAATAATGTTAATCCTGGGACCGGGAAAAAATACCGGTAGGCACGAGACCCTTACCCCACTCTCTTTCAAATGAACTGTGATCTGTGCGCAAAATCAAAGTTTGAAACTGGTGTTAGATTTCCTTTTATTCTAAGTGCGTATGTACCAAATTTCATTTAAATGCTTTCATAAATAAGAAAGTTGGCACTACGCATGCGCAAAACCAAACTTTAAAACGGGTTAAATTTGCATTTGTTCCAAGTGCCTATGTATCAAATTTGATTGAAATGCTTTTGTAAATAAAAAAGTCTACACTGCGCATGGGCAAAAACAATGTCCTTAGTTTCACTTGTATTCATTGTGTTTACATATAAAGTTTCATTTAAATATCTTCATAAATAAAAAAGTTTGCACATGCGTTAAACCACATTTTTGCCACTGCGCATGCGCAAACCAAAAATATGGGTACGCACGGATTTCTTGCACCAAGCCGTTCCAAATGAGCCCCATATCGCCCAAATTTGTTCAGTCGCGTAGAAGTAGCACGTGTGACGGACGGGCGACAAAGTGCAATCAATAGCGATTTTTTACTTTGAGGAAAATACGCTACCAACATAGCGCATCTCGTATACTAAACAATCAAATGTGCCATGCCCAAATTGAGCAATGTCAACTTTAAATCCTAATATAACAAATAGATGGCGCCAAATCAAGATCTACTACGGCTCTAGAAGCATCCATACCTTTGACTTCAGCCGAGAGGCGAAAAGATAGACGGTTAAACGCATCAATTACATATGATCGCGAAGGTTTCTGATGTGATAAACATGCGCGGGGTAAGGTGGCTTAGTCGCGGAAACCGATCTTATGTCAAATCCGGGAGCGGGACCCTTGGCCGCGTTATGGGCGCCGACTCCTATATAGGAGTGGGACGTTCGTTATGCCCCATCCGGGAGCTATTGACTGATAAGAACAGAAGTGGCATGTAGTAATTTTGCGAAGCCATGGTTTGCGATCATGGGCTGAACTTGGGAAGTTTATGGACCTTGCATACCAACTGTCGTGCAACAGTGCAGTTTGCCATGAGTTCGGTCGTTTTGCCTTCTCCAAGTGTTCAATCGTGCATCCATACACATCAGTAATCGTGGTCCCTATTGCGATGTGTTCAGTAAGTAAGTACGCCCTGCCAGTCCCAAAAAATTGTCGCCATCACTTCCAAATGAAGACTGGGAGCTGCCTTGTTGGAGAGCGAAAAGCTCTGATGGATCCACATTGACTCCCGTTTTTCAAAAGAGTCCCTGTGAAACAATCACGTTCCGTCGCTTGTGAAAATCCCTGAAAAATAACTGTCAGGGTTCACCAAAGCGTCCAAATGCTCCTGGCATATGTTCTCAGGACAAAATTGTCAAATGCATTCAACCTTTCACAATAATTATACGCCGACGGCTTACGATCCGTCGGCTTTTCATTCTTTGGTTTTCTCAACCTTCAGCTTGTTTGGGTTTCTCAAGCTCTCAAAAAAAATTTTCATCTTGAAATTCCTAGGACTACTTTGATTTCCACGGCTTCTTCTAGATCTTGGCTTTCTTCGTCTTCAACAGCTTAGTTGACTTCCTCAGCGCCTTCCCAGTTTCTTCAGCTACTTCGTTCTCCTTCTAAAGATTTCGATTCCTTGCATGGAATTTGCATTCCGACTTACTCGCCTTTCTCCAATTCCTCAGAGGCTTCGGCCCCTAGTCTTCTCCAGCTTCCTCGAATCCCTACCCTTCCGATACTTCCTTGAATTCCGCACTTTTTGAATTTTCCGTCCCCTTGGAATTATTCTTCAGCTCCCTTTCAGCTTTTCTTAATTTTTTGAATTTCCTTCGACATTTTCTGCACCTTAAGATATTTTTTTATCATCTACATTCTACAATGACTCTTTATTTTGTTCTCAACATACACGATTTTTCCAGATTTTTGTACCTCTCCAACGGCCTTTTTCGCTTCTTCATTTTCTTCGTGTTCTTTACCATCAACAAATTTCTCGGTTTCAACGGTTCTTTGATGTTCTTGCAACGTCTTCGGTTATTTCAGATTCTTCGACTACCGCGCGTATGCCTTCTAGATGAGATTCCCCGTTCTCTTCGCGTTAGCTACTTCCCATTTCATGATACAGATTACACTTGCGTGAATTCCGTCCGTCTGAGGGTTTGAGATGTCAGCACTTACACCTCGTAGAAGAGTTTATTACGGTGGACGTTTCCGTTTCTACACAAGCGCATCCAAATGTTATTTACTAAGATATACCAACTAAATTTTAACTTCAGATACATCTGAGGAGAGGGGAGGGGGTAGGGAATAAAGGAAATTGGGTGGGTGGGAAAAGAGACATAGAAAGTCAACTGATAAAGAATGCAACATAGAGATGGAGTTATTACTGAAATTAGCGGAAAAGAGAGGTTGGTGAATATTAAACGGAAACATGGGGGGAAGGTCGGTATGGAAGGGAGAGGGAGGTCGGTGGTTGATTACTAGTAAACGAACAGAGCAAGGACAGAATCGGGTCACCAACCGATGGAAATACTAACAGCGACGATAAAAAAGCGTCAGAATTGCAAGGATTCAAAGACGAATAGAGATGCAATTATATGAATGAGACATAGTGAAGGATAGAAGCTTAGAGGAGCAAGTATCTGAAATAGGAGATAGTACAGAGGAGGAGGGGACAAGGAAAGGAGAGATAAAAGAAAAAAGTACAAAAGAATTCGTAAGGAAAAGAAGATGAAAAAACACAAAGAATATGATGAAGAAATCAGGGAAATAAAAACTGAGATGGACTTTTGGAAGATGATAAACAGAGGAACAGGGGAAAACACCACTTTATGAAAGTATAACAAGAAAAGGGTGTGGGGATGAGGATGACGGAAGAGAGGAAGTGAGAGGAGACGAGATATTAAAGATGGAGCCACCATTAAAGAAACTGTAGAAAGCGAAGGCGACAGAGGGGAACGAAATAAGAAATGAGGTACGGATTTTCGCTACGGAAGGAGAAGCTGATGAGGAAACTGATAAACAAGCTACGGAAAGGAAGAGGGCTACCGAGAGAATGGAAGGAAGGAGTAATAGTGCCGATTTACAAGAGGTGCCAAATACTACATATAAGGAAATTTATAGGGGAATCTCGATAATGCCAACGGATTAAAAGAGAAAGGGATGTTGGAGGAAACGCAAATTGGCTTTAGAAAAGAGAGGGGAACGATCGACTACATGGCTGTATTACAGAGAGTGGCGGAAAAGAATTGGAAAGGCGATTGCGATTTTCACGGATCTAAGGACAGCGAATTTGCCTTCCCGCTTTCTAGGATTCATCTTCTAATTGCACATAGCTTTCGGACCCCTACGCTTCTCAAGCTGTCTTGGATTCTCCACTTCTCCTACTTTCTCGATTGTTCGGTTCTCTCAACACCTACGACTTTTTGAATTTCCTGATCCATTAAGTTTCACCAACCCCTTCGATTTCCTTGACTTCCTCGAAATATGCATTCGGTATTTTCTGCTTTACAACAACGTTCTCCACTTCTTCGATTGCTTACTCAACTCTATAGTTTCATTTTAACGACTTGTGCTAATTTCTCTACTGAGATTTATTTGTTTTCTTCGGATGCTTCGCCTCCTTCAATAACGTTCTGGATTTCTTCAATTCTCTCGCTATCCTTACCTCTCAATTCTTTCTAGACTTTCCTCTCTCCTTCGGTTTAGATTTTTTTTTAATTCTTGCAACATCTACCGCTATTACAGATTTCTCGACTTCATTCAGTTTCTTGCGTCTTTATTTTCGTGTTACAGTGTTTAGGTCCAAATTATTCGGCAGCTGAGTTCGGCTTCTTGAATATTTTCGACTCCTCTGTACTTCCTCAATGTCTTTAATTACTGCGATTCTCAAACTTTCTCGATGTCTTCTACGGCTTTTCCTAGCACTTTTTCTGCTTCTAGGACTGCCTTGTGGTTTTTAACCTCTGTTTATAGAGTATAGAGTGATTGTCTTCCCAGACG